TGTGTGTGTGTGTATATGTGTTCAAATAAGATTTTCCCTGCACCTCTAGTAAAAGTGTCTGAGGGGTGAAATTCCTTTTGTGAAAAGGTTATCAGTTAATCCATTAAAAATTATAAAAATAGAAAAGAGTGAATAAATCTGCTTGCCCAGCAACGGACTGGCATCCCATCCAGGGTGTTCCCCGGTATTGTACCCTGTGCTTCCTGGGGTAGGCTGGCAGATGGATGGATGGAATCAAGCCCCCTGACTATTTTGTATGCAGAAGTGCAAAAGCAGTATTCCCACAAAAAGGCTGCCTTTAGCATAAATGCCACCTTTTCACACCGTTATGACCTCCGCTGCGAGTGCTGTTCTGTTATGGTGGATAAATAAAATACATAAAATAAATTAGCTGCAGTTCATACCTCTGTCTTCCAGGGGGTGCCCACATGCCACTCAGCAAGCCCCACCAAGGGCTTCTTCACCCGTGGCCCCTTCAGCCGGCCTTCCAGCCCCATGTCGGCCCCCGCCAGGTCCAGAGTCAGCCCAGGGTCACCCAAGACCATCTTACCATACCCCTTCTACCAGGACTCACCTCCCAAATCCCCCCGTCGCATGAGCTTCAGTGGGATCTTCCGCTCCTCTTCCAAGGACTCCTCCTCCTCCGTCACCTCCACCTCTCCAGTCAGCATCAAGCTCTTCTCTCGGGCCAGGAAAGGTAGGCTGCTGTTCGATCCTGGGCCTCTGGGGATGCTGGGGCTCAGCCGGGTTTTCACAGCGCCCCCCTCAGGTTAAATGCCCCATGGATACGTTTTAGCTCCCTTTTTTTGTCCTTTCTGGAGAAATATGCTGATAGAATTGCTCTTTTACTGAAATGTAAATATGAAATGATAATCATCAGCATGATTTACACAATCACGAATTATACAAGAAACAATTGTTCTCAGCACATTCTGAGAGGCAGTGTTCTCCGCCCACATGTTCTCTCAGCGAGTGTCGGTCACGGCAAACAACTGAAAATGGGATAAGCTGCCGTGGACTGAGCATAAGGCGGCGTATGAACACGAGGCCCGGATCGGCCCGGATCAGCCCGAATCGGCGCGGACTGGTGCCTCACGCTGCCCCCTGCCTTTTGGTGCTGCCCTACAGCAGGAGGGGAGGCGCTGGAGTTCATATCACTGTAGTCTGCTCTGGTAGAAGCTACTTCCTGCCGTTTCGGCTGACTGACACTCTGAGCATGATGTGACACAATCATGGAGGTTTGGGAAGATTCAGACCATTGTTTCCCAGCCAGGGGACACCCAGACAGTCTGTGTCCAGCCTGTCAAGAACACAGAATACTTGGTACGTGGTGTGCTGGGAGCTGGGAAGGAATAAAAATGTACACTGTCTGGGTCCCCAACGACTGGGTTGGGAAATTAGTTTAGCCCCTTTGTGGAATTGTAGGGCCTTTTTGTTTAATATCGGATGTTACTGTACTCTGAAGACATTTCTGTTTCCAAAACCATAAGAATCTCTCTGCTCTTGTGCCAGACCGTAATTAGACAGGCAGGCACCTGTTTTGTGGGGGGGGTGGGGGATCCTGCTCATATACCCATGTCGATACTTTGTGTAATTTTTTCTGATTTTAACAGAATTTCATCACCTTGAACATGTAGTCCTGAGCTTTGCTTGATATGGGACAATGTCTATCCAGTTGTACTGCCTTTCCCTTCAGTTTCTTTCAGAGCCTTAACTGCTACGCCCCCTGCTGTCAAAGAAATTCACTAGTTTTTGCTCGCACTTTCTGAGAAGGTGCCAACACGGATGAAATGGCTTCCTCTGTTATGGTAAAAACTCTCCTCAAAACAGGAGGAAGTCGGACCTTCTGGGAGACAGATGCGGTAGTAGGATGTCCTTGGAGGTGTGGAGATATTTCTGAAGCCTCCTAGCCTTTCGGTGGGGGGGGGGGGCGCCAGGCGCGTGAGTGTGTGTGGATGGGCGCCATGGCAGTGAGTCATTTGGCAGGAATAAATGGCAAATGGAATACCTGCTACTCCACTTTTGGAAGGGGAGGGGTGGGGGGTGGTCAGGGTACGTACAGTGCTTTGCTTTGGGTGAAACGGCATGAACTAGGGACAGGTGGCCCAAAATATGCTGCTAACTCTGGCCGCTGGCTTGCCCTTCCAAAATTAACAAGGTTAAGTGTTCTTAGTACATTTTTTTTTTATTATTAATGTTTAATGAATGCAATTAAAAAGGAAAACAGTGCAATTAAAATCAATATAAACTGCCGCAGGTGTGTGTTGTTTCCGTGAGGTATATTTAATGACGAGGGGCCGTAAGAACCGTTCTGCACCCACACACATGCTAATCTGTAAATGCCGGTCAGAGGTCATGGTGCCCGTTGTGCTCGACACCACTGGAGTGCGAGTTTGTTTGATGTTGCATTACTCCTCCCGTACTCACATTGCGCGGGTGCTCCCCGGTAACCTACCGGGCGGCTTTGTGCCATCTCTGCGTCGTCGTCTCTCTGCGGGAAGCGACGCTGACTGTTTCCGGTGTTGAAGGGTATCACTTCTACTTTCCAGCCGATGGTAGACGTGTTTAAGGTTCCCTCCCATTTTAGCTCTGTCAAAGACGCTGATTTCCTGTTATGAGTATTTATCGATGCTGACGATGATGATGATGATGATGATGATAAATTAGTAGCATTATGGGATCTTTGCTGTGACGGAAGGGTGAGCTGCCTTAGCTGATCCACGGCGTTGGGATGGTAAGGGGCACGGCTGTGTGGGTGCACTGGGGGGGGGGGTGGCGCGCAGGTCAAGACAGACATATATACACACACAGTTGAATGCATTCACAGATCTTTGTGGGGACCTGAAAAATGGTCCCCACAATGTCAAAATAACAGGTTTTTATTACATTGTGGGGAATATTTGGCCTCAACAAGGTAAAATAAACCTAATCCACACACACACACAGCCACATAGCCGTCCGCTCTCCTGTTCTCCATTTGTGGTTTCACACAGGTCTATGTCCCGTTGGCCTTGCGGAGAAATCTGGAAGGGGGGGGGGCCTGAGCCATCAAGTCTGCCCCGGTCTCTCCTTTTCATGCTTATTTCTTCCCGCCTGGCTTTCTGCAGTGACTCGGCTGCCCCACCCCCATGACTCACAGTGCTACTATAAAATGGATCAAGGGCTCCCGCCATTGCCGTCACCAGTGTGGACCTTTACTGCCCGCGGGGGGGGGGGGTCTGAAATGTCACTGCGCCTCGCACACTCAGAGCCTTTTCTTTATGTTTTATGGCTTTCAAATGATGGAAAGTTAATCTAAAATGTTTTGGTAATGTTTACCATTTAATTGTAATTTAATTGCAGTCTCCATCAGTAAATTCTCTGGATATTATCGGAACTTTTACTTTGAATACCTTTTTGAAGTGAGAGAATACTAAATTTGAATTGTGTACTCAGAATTTGCACATCTGGACTGTAAAATCCTGTTTGTTTATGCCTATGTCTATAGCTCTATCTCTCTCTATGTTATTCTCAGCCCTGAAATCTTTGGCCGCGGTCGATCATATTCTTTTTCCCGTAACGAGCTGCCCATTTGCGGAGCAGCGGTGTAAATTCATGCCGTTTTATTCTCTGTGCCGACTGCAGGCTCTGTCTCCTGCCTGAGGCATCTTCCTCACTGAGTCTGACAGCGCGACCGTGTCTATATGCTCTCGTGAAAAGGCCTCTGACTACTCACTCCTGAGTGGCTGGACGGTGGATTTCCAGAGAGATCCCGTTTCGGACACGCCCTGTTTCGGACACGCCCTGTTTCGGACACGCCCCGTTTCGGACACGCCCCGTTTCGGACACGCCCCGTTTCAGACACGCCCCCATGCCCTCGGCTGCCCTTCCCCAATCAGGCCCTGGCAAGTGCTCCTGCACCTTTAACGGCTCCTTTGGCAGAGGAGGATGTTTTGAAGGTCCAGAACTGGGCTGGGCAGATCCTGGGGGTGGAGCATGGGGCTCCTGGGTGTTGGTAGGTGGTGCAGATACTGCTCTTTAACACAGAATGTCAGCCGTGTGGGTGGCAACGGAAGAATTATCTGAACGTTAGACTGTGATTGGTTAGACTTCAATAAATTATGTGGAGGGCGTGTCTCATCGATGAGCAGGTGCGTGTTTGGGCCGGACCGGCGGAGTGCATTAAGAATACGCTGTTTTACCAGCAGTACATTTACAAAGCAGCTATAGGAGGCGCTGTGGCCAGAGCTATGAGCTTGTGCTAGAGCTGCTCTAGGCAGAGCTCAAGACTGTGACCACACTGCCACCCTGTGGTCACAGCCCTCCACTGCGGCCTTGCAGAATAGAAAATTACCTTAAAGTGTTTTTTGTGTTTTTGAAGAGGATTTTTTTTCTTTTCCAGTCATCTGCAAGCAGGTGTGCTCTTGTAACAGAAATATGGATATATTAGGATGCAGAGATACTTTATAGGAGAGAGGTAGATTGTCTGTCTGCCAGAAGCGGTCAACTAACCTATTGGAGCAGTGGCATTAGCAGGATGGAATCCTGGAGGGGGGCATTTGAGTATGCTGGACAGGCACTGATGGGGGGGGTGATGGTGAAAGTTATGTTGATGAATTAGTGATTCTGATGATCAGTTACATGCATCCATAGCCATGCCTGTGTCTTGGGGACTTGCAATGTGGATTTAGTGGGGGGTGAATTAGGGACAGTGAAGGATTTAGGCCAGGAACAAGCACCCTGACTGCAGCTGTCTAGTATTAGAGGGTTGAGAGTCGTTTATACACTATATGGACAAAAGCATTGGGACACCTGGCCATTACATCTACAATAACTTTTATGACGTCCCATTCTAAATCCATAGGGGTTAATATGGAGTCGGTCCCCCTTTGCAGCTATAACTACGGCCACTTTTATGGGAAGGCTTTCCACAAGATTTTGGAGCATTTCTGTGGGAATTTTTGCCCATTTATCCCGAAAACCATTTGTGAGGTCAAGCACTGATGTGCTGATGTGTTGGACATGAAGGCCTGGCTCACAATCTCCATTCTAGTTAATCCCAAAGGTGTTCAATGGGGTTGAGGTCAGGGGTCAGTGTGGGCCTGTCAAGTTCTTCCACACGAAACTCACCCAACCATGTCTTTATGGACCTTGCTTTGTGCACTGGGGCACAGTCATGCTGGAACAGAAAAGGGCTTTCCCCAAACTGTTCCCACAATGTTGGAAGCATAAAATTGTCCAAAATGTCTTTGAAGCAATAAGAGTTTCCTTAATTGTAACTAAGAGGCCTAGCTCAGCCCCTGAAAAACAACCCCATACCATTATCCCTCCTCCACCAAACTTCAGTCGGCACAATGCAGGAAGGTAATGTTTTCCTAGCATCCACCAAACCCAGACTCATCCATCAGACTGCTAGACAAAGAAGTGTGATTCATCACACCACTGCTCCAGTGCCGGCGTGCTTTACACCACTCTGTCCGAAGCTTGGCATTGTGCTTGGTGATGTGAGGCTTGCATGCAGTTGCTCAGGAATGGAAGCCCATTCCATGAAGCTCCCGGTGCAGTTTTGTGCTGGTGTTAATGCCAGAGGAAGTTTGGAACTCTGCAGTTACGGAGTCAGCAGAGTGTTGGTGACTTTTACACACTATGCGCCTCAGCACTTTGTGGCTTTGAGTTTCTGTTGTTCCTAAACGCTTCCAATTTGCAATAATACCACTT